GCCCGGCCGCGCCGCCCGCCCCTCTCCCGGGGCGAGAGGCGGGGGTGAGGCGCGCCGAAGCCCCGAGCTGAGGAGAAGGGTGGGGGCATGAGGGCGCTGGCGTGAGGAGCAGATTGGAGCCTTCCCACTTCCTCTCCAATCTCAGCCCCCGGGAGGAGGGGTGAGGCCCGCGAGGGGGCGAGGAGTTAAGGAGGACTTGACCATTGCGCTCGCTCGCTCGCTCTCCTTCTCCCTCCGCTCTGCTCTCCTCCCTCTCCGCCGGCCTCGGCTGCGGGCTGACGTCCAGGCCGGAAACCCGGGAAACCTGCGCTGAGGGTGTCCTGGAAGGCGCTCTGGCTGACAGCACAGTATTTCTGCGGGAGGCTTTAAAAAGCCCCCGTGGACCCTCGTTAGGATGTGTACGTTGTGGCTTTTCAAGAAACGCCAGGGCGTTATTTAAAAAAAAAAAAAAAAAAATTTGCAACTACTGATTGCAGTTATGATGTTTTCCAGGTTATTTAGTTTGGATGGGTGCGAACGTTTGTAGGATTAGATGGCCTGATTGGATTGGCACGTGTTTCCGTGGCTTAAGTCACGATTCCAGAGCCCAGCAGAAAAGTTTCAGTACTATTCCTCTGCCTCCTAATTGGGAAGTTGTAACTGCTGTCCCGATAGTTTTTTCAGTCTAAAGAGATTAAAAGTAAGACTGTCAGTTGTGACAGCTTTTGTGACCGCTCATGATTAGTAATCGCACCCAAATGGTCCTTAAAATGCGAATCCAGCATGTATTGGAAGGTATCCCAATATTTTTCAAAGTTAAGAATCTTAATTTTTGTTTATCATGGTTTGCTAATTTAAAAGCCAAGGTGGATTCTTTTCCTCCAAATGTGAATGAATTATGTATGTTTTGTAAAATAGCAAATGTATGTTAGGTTTAGAAAAGTAGCTCTGAGAATCACTGGTTCTATTTGGAAAGTCAAGGAAATCAGCCATAGGGATGAAGTAGAGACAGTTGACTTTGTAGTACATGTTGAAATGCCACCATAGTTTATATGTTACCGGGAAGCATAAAGGAATCCCAGGATGTTTGCAATCTCTTCCTCTATTTCTAAGAAAAAAATACACTCTAGTACCCTTTAAGAGGATAAGTGGATTTTTGTGTCAGGCTGCCTGGCTTCAAATTTAAGTAATGCTGTTCCAGGACAGCAAATCTGTTATAGGGCAGGGGGAGAGAGGCACCCCTGAAGCCCCAAACCTGCCTGCTCTAAGTGGGTTCTGCCATCTGCCGCATCAAGACAAAACATATAAAACTTTAGTGAAAAGGGACTTTAATATAGTGAATACACAATACGGAACACAAAGAATATAACTTCTGAATCAAGCACCTGAAGTGACCCATCCCCTCGTGGGTAAAAGTCAACCCAAAAGGGATTGGTCCAAAGCAAGGCCTGAAAGCTGCCACAAGACTACAGCACCTTCTGCCGGGACCCAAGGAAAAGGGTCAGGAATGGCCAGACAAATCTGGGAGGAAAAGAGCAAAATCAAAATCAATATAAACACTGCCATAGTCACCTCCCTACAGGTATCTCACCCACATCTGCCTTAACCAGTCCAGGGTCAGGAAACAAGCACGGTTTCTTCATCACGTGCTTGCTGCTCCATGTGGCTTCTTCAGGGTCACCTTCTTGTTCTCCATCCAGCTTCCTTCTCTCCTTTTTCTCTGCTCAGCTCCACCCTCCTTCTGGGTGGGGCAGGGAATCTGGAACTTCCCCTTTTCCTAGGGACCACTCTGTTACAATGTGACCTCCCCCCATTTTATTTAACTAATCTCACAGTTCCTTGGTTTCTTCATCTATAAAATGAGAATGATTTTGATGAAGGTGAAGAGTAGAATATTTGGAAAGAAGGATCCAAAAGACCAGAAACCTGGTTCGGGCAAGGTCAAATGCTAGAGGTGGGGTGGAAGTGATTAACATAGTTCCGCAAACCAGCTGTAGAAATGAAAAATCCTCAGGCGCCTGCTGCTATCAGACTGCTACAGAAAGTTTCAGAATGTGCAGACCAAAGGTTGGGCTATGGAGATGAGGGCTCAAGCAGAGCTTGCTGGTCCTTTAAATCAGCCCAGTCACACCCTCATCATAATCAGGTTAACAAAAGTTAACAGTGGACAAAGGAATGAGCCCCTCCCAAAGAAAGAAGACCATTTCAATGCAGTCTTTGCACTGGCAAGGGGGCAGCAGTCATCTTGCCCAGCTGTAGTACCTGGGAGCTTCTCTTCACCAACCTTCACCCTTTGCAAAGCAGAATAGGAATTTCCCCTCCCAAGGCAGCCCACCTGTGATGGTGCGGGCCTCTCTCTTTAGCAAACATGTCTCTGGGGGCAAATCTTTCTGCCTGCTTGTGTCTGCAAGTGTCCTTCACTCTGCTTTTCCTTTTCATAATAATCCTACCCTTTTGGATATAACTATACACCTCTACTCTTGAGGAAACTTGCACGTGCTGCTGAAAGGGGAGTTCTTCGAGGCATAACCCAAGAATCCCTCCTCTCTGACCTCAATATCTCTCCAACCTGACTTCCACTTCACAGCATTGTTGTGAGAATTAAATGTGTTAATTTAGATCAAACATAGAGAAAAACACTATCATTATAGTCTTCTTAGTAATAAACATTGACAGCTGTTAGATCGTTTACCTGTTTTCTAATTAATAGAATTTTTCCTTTGTTGATTTCTCTCCACAAATGGTTTTTAGTGTTCACATTTTCAATCCTCTTAAGGGTTCAAGTAGAATGTAAAACACCTATCAAAGCAAAATTCACTTTCATTCAGTGCAACACTAATTTTTTTAATGTCTTAAGATAATTCATGTGTCTGAATGGAAGAGGCATGCCTAAATCATTTGCTAAATCAAAGACTACAAGAAGTTTTAAGTCACAATTTATCTAGCTCTCACTGTCATAAACCTGAAAAAAAAAAAAGTCTTCTTTCTATTGTTAATATTCTTAAATCTGGATGATTCGTAAGTCAACTCTGACTCATACAGGAAGCCTTCCTAGGTAAAGTGGGTTGATTTAAGAAGTCTTTCCCATAATCGCTGTTTCTAGACATTATTTCTGTATCCTTTCCTTCACTCCCACACTCATTGGTCTAACCTAAAAAGAAAAAGTTGTATCCAAATGAAAGTGATAGCTAAAGGTAAAGCTGAACCAATAATGTAAAACCTGCTAATATATATTTATACCTTGGGATCATATGTCTGACATGTTGACTGACGGAGACTGAGCCTGGATTTCAGGGGTTATATAATATGCTTGTTCAGCACCTCATCACACCATCAGAATTTATGGCATGTACTGTGTAAAGGCATGTGCTACACTTTTATTGTCAGTCCAAGTGATAGTTGTTAAGTAAATAACAGCTTAGTGAGATAATAAATGCTCAAAAATAAAATACTGTCCAAGAATGCAGAAAGTACATTTAGTCTTCTACCCATAAACTCTTGAGCACTCCCTTTAATTGTATCAGTCCCTCATCCATTTCCTCCACAATCTGTGTCGTGTTTTTTTGTAGGAAGCTTTTGTAGGAAGAGTTGGGATATCGTTGCTAAAACCCAAAGCCCCATCCCTTACCCAGCAGGCAAGTTTGGGAGGCTTGAGTGGATAAAGGGAGTAGATGGAACTGCCATGGGAACCTGGATATCAAGCTGGTGATTCTCTATGCCAACTCAGAATCAGTCAGGACACACTCAAAAATAATCACCCTAACTAGTCAGTGATGCCTGGAGTATAAACAAACTTGAGCTCCTCACTCGGCAACCGCAGATCCCTCCTATTAAGCTGCTGCTCCTTTTAGCATTGTACTTCAAGTCTGCTTCTTCTGTTCTCAACTCTAGCTGGTTAATTCTTTCACCCCTGCACCCCTGGCCTACACCTAACTTCCCCCCAGTCAGTTATAAGTTTTTTTTTGATACCCACTTACCCTACCTAAATCTCCTCTTTAATGTTTTCTATTTCAAAAGTTTAGTTCACTCTATGCACTTTTTTAGTGTATTTTATAACCATTAGTGTGTTTGTTGTTTTATCTTTTCCCTTTCCATTCCATTAAGTCTTGTTTATTCTGTCTCTGAAATATATCTTACATCTACTGCTCCACCCTGGTCCAATCCTTCATCATGCTTTTACTAGACAGTTAGACTTCCTGCTTGCACACTTGCCTGCCAAAGTGAACTTGGCTTAAAAAAAATTATCTACCCAAAGGACACAAAAACGTTAAATCAAAAGGTCACCTGCACCCCTATGTTTATTGCAGCACAATTTACAATAGGTAAGTTATGGAAACGACCCAAAAATAGATGACTGGATCAAGAAGATATAGCATATATACACAGTGGAATATTATTCGGCAATGAAAATGATAAATTCGTGACATTTGTGGCAACATGGATGGAGCTGGAAGGGATCATGCTCAGTGAAATAAAACAGAAAGGGAAAAAATACTGAATGGTTTCACTTTTAGGAGGATTGTAGAGGATACAAATAAGAGATCAGGAAAAAATATATAATAAAGTAAAAATCAAAATCAACAGGCAATTAAATATCAGAGACATTCTACATGGCAGGAGGGAGGGAGGGGAGATGAGAATAGAACCAAAACAGGTTTGGGAATAGCATGAGGGTCTATGGTAATGTTATACAGGAGAATTGGTGGTGGGACTTTCTTCTTTTTTAAAGATTTATTTTTATTCACGCAAACAAGAATTGGGGTATAGACCAGAGGTGCAGGAGGTGAGAGGATTCACCAGAGACAGAGTGGAGAGCAGAACA